CTGCGAACGCGCCGGGCTATGGTGCGATTGAGGGAAAAGAAAGTCTCTATTAGTAGGAGACTTACAAAAGACAAAGGAAGTAGAAAAGAGAAGAAAAAAGAGCGATACAGGTTGCTCTAAGGATGAGAGTTGCCTGCTCTTCGATGTTAGCGAGTGACGAAAATTTCAAAGATTTGTTATGCTGGACGTGGTGGGGGATGAGCATCCGGGACTGGATCCTTATCCGCCCGATATTTGATGCAGGTACGTATCTCTTAGAGGATATAGTAAATATATATTCTGGTGTAGGAACATACCCTGTTCCGCATTCCTCCCTCACTCTCACCCTTCGTCCCAAAGTTCTGGCCCGCATGCCGACGTTTTTTTTATGAACTACTTTGGCTAACTCAGTTACTTTTTCCCTACTCTACGATGCGGGTTCACATGATGCAGGACGTATATATCTCACGCGTGGATGGGTGGTGTTTTCGGAGGTTGCTAATCACGTGCCCGGATCAACAGTGCATCCCTCCGCTGCAACCCGCTATGCTTTGTGATGGCCTATGGCGGTCCGTATACACCGAAACCATCATGGCGCTTGGATACGGGATTGGATCTTTCATTTCGAATAAGCGAAGCAACAGAAGAAGCACACACTAATTCAGCACTCTTTTAGACTTCAGAAACGAACAGATCCCATTTATCCTCCCTGATATCATTAGAAACCGAAATTGAAATGTGAAAGGGATTAGACAAATTGAAAAGAAAAAGAAAAAAAGCAGTAAAAAATATTATGGGATAGTAACACAGCGTTGTTTGTAACATTATAAACAAGGAAAGTACCGCAGTTTGGATAGAAAAATACTCGTACAGTACAGACACTGGATGAACAGGGAAGACATAAATTGAAGGAAAAAATGAAAAAAATGAAGGACGGAGGCTACAGTGAAAGGTACAGAACTACCGGTAGATGTCAACTCACCGAATGAGCCGCGGAACTAGACTTCAACACTATCAGGAGAAGGAATTGGAAAAGGAGTCAATGATACTAAGCTTTGCGCAGTGGATAAATGTGCACAGAATGAAACGCTCGTTTGAATACAAAACACGTATCCAGAAATGACATGAGTAATTATATCCGAACTTATCAGGTCTCCTAACTATCCATCACAAAACCAAGGGAAAGACGCATCAAAAAGAACATTCTCTGCGATCTCTTATGATGAAGGAAAAATACAGCAAGAACTCTTGACTCCTATAAGCTTTCCATCAATAATATTATTACACTCACTCATGATCCACAATCGTCATGGCGGTTCTATGACACTCTCCTGCACCCCACCGAATCTGTGCTCAAGTACATAACCACCGCTAAGCGCACTCCATCACCAGCAGAAGAATAGGTAAATTATGTTGGGAATAATGATACAGATAGTGATGACGCCCTTATTTTTTTTTTTTACTGTTCCCCATTTTACTTTATTCTCACATTTGAACACTTTTTTTTTATTCTTTCGCGATGTCAGTGATGTCAAGTCGGGCCCGCTCATCACTTCCGAAGACTGAAGGATCCTCAAGGGGTGCCAGTGGTTTCGCATTTGCCATCTCATAACTTTAATGCCCGTGGATTCTGGCCACTACACTTCTTAACGGCCGGCGCACCGGGGGTCCTTCCCTTTTTTCCACCCTGAGTTGGGTGCCTATCCGCTCCAAAGCCATCTTCATGTTTCAACAAATAAGAATGTCTCAATTTTGTGGCAATATCAACTCCTTCAACGTGTCCAATAACTTCAATCTCGATACTGCAGATGAGGATTCGAAAATTCTGGCCTGGCTATCACCGCTGGCACCGCGGTTACGACATCACGACATCCGAGCTCAGCGGGTGGAGAAGCTGGGAGACTGGCTGCTTCAAACTAAGGAATACAGAAGCTGGTGCAACAGTAGAGCGCAGGGTGAATCGTGTCAGGCGGGCTTGTTCTGCTACGGTCACCCGGGGGTCGGCAAGAGCTTTATCACGTAAGGGAAACAATCTCTGAGGTACGACGAGGGAATAGTGTTGCTGAAAAATCAACATGCTAGTTCGCTAGTAGTAGACTCCATATGCGACGTGGCCAGGGGACGAAAAGTTGCTGTCGGCTGCTATTACTTTGACTTTGCATCCCGAAAGGAACAGTCCGCTGTAAATACGCTGGGCTCTTTGCTTAAGCAGCTTGTGAGCGGGTTGGAAGCAATCCCGGAAGAGGTAATGGAAGAATACCCAGAACAGAAGGTCATTAGGGGCCGGGGACTAGACGTTTCAGAAATCGTAGGGATGTTGCAAATCGTCTCATCCTTGAAGCGCACGTTTCTATGCATCGATGCCCTTGATGAATGTATGCCGGAGCACCGGTCGAGGTTCTTGATTCCCTACGCCAGATTCAGCAAAAGTCGCCAAACACGCGAATATTCATTACCGGAAGACCTCATATCAGGGCTGAGGTGGAAATGCAGCTTGATGGAAGAGCGGTGAGTCTACTGATCAAGCCTGCGGAACACGATATCCTTATATATTTGGAGGCGAGGTTGAAGAAAGACACGACACCGGAGGTGATGAACGCCGGCTTGAAGGAAGAAATTCTGAAGAGTATTCCTGAAGCGATGTCGGAAACGTATGAAGGAGCGATGAGGCCCGGGAATCCATTTCATATTATTTCTGACAGATGAGAATCTAGATTTGTTCTAGCGTCCCTCAATATCCATGAAATCCTACAAGAACCAAAAATCGGCCACAGACGATGAAGGCTCAAGGCCATGACGGATGGATTAGGACTTGGGCTAGGGCTGGGAGATGCATATGGCACGACTTTGGTCCGGATAAGAGCACAAAATAGGGCAAAATCGGAGCCCGCAATGAGGGTCCTGATGTGGATATGCTATTCAGAACGACCGCTGAAGGCGCATGAGCTCTGCCATGCCCTCGCCGTGGAGATAGGATCAAGAAGTTTCGATAGTGATAATATTCCTTTGATAGGTATAGTGATGGGCTCCTGTCAAGGACTTATCACGGTAGATAAGGCAGCTTCGATGGTGCGTTTGATCCACCACACCCTTCAAGAGTATACGGTACTGTACATTTCTAGAGCGCGTTGCCACATCAGCTCATCAGAGACGGTTGGCTTACCTGATGGAACGTAATGCCTTGCGGCGCATATACCTTTAAGGTGGAGTCGCGTATTTTTACAAATAAATTACTTTAAGACGAGTTGCTAAGTTGCTACCCGAGTGAGCACGGCGACCACCTACAAACGCAACGGCTATAGTTCGTTACCATAGAGCCTAAGAGAACGTAGAGAGTCTTAGGTTCTGTAACCCGCCGAAAATCCAGCTGGCTCGGGGGTGCTGAGTCAGTTGTTGTTTGAAAAGCTCAACCCGCCACAAGGAACAGTTAGCATGGTACTGTACATCAGCCACGCTGCGCTCAACGTGGGCCTGCAGGGAAGGAGGACTAGGATGAGTACCAGAATTAGTATTGACTCTTCACTACGATCAATGAAATGTCCTGAAGTATCAGATCCAAGTTATTTTGGATACCAGTGATGAGATAATACTCGCAGTCGATCCCTGCACCGTCCCGCGGCCCCGGGCGCTTCCTTGCGCGCACCCCACATGGCACACAAGGGCTGACAACAGGAGTAGTGCGCATGGGTATTTATTCGCAGCACGGTATCGCGGTACAAACTTTGTGCTGGGATAAAGAAAACAATTACCGGAATTCATCCTCGCATCGCGAGCAAGAAAAAAAACGCCCTTCTTAAAACCCTCGATCACCCTGATATGTACCCGTCTGGTATACGTACCCACAGTAGGATAGTCGGATAGAAGAAATTATGATATTGTACTGTACCCTCACTGTTCACGAGCAAAGCGTTGTGTATGACCGAGGAGCACCTAACAATTTGGCGACGGTTGAAACTTGCTGACAGGAAGCAAGCAAAACTAAATTCGAAACAACATCGAAGGTGTCCTCCATGATCCTATATTTCCTATTTAGACATCTATCTGATGTCTCATCAACCTGTAACTTAGCACCGGTAGTACTCGTATATACACTTCACACAAATCACAAGAGAATATACCGTATTTTTTTTCCTATTTCGGCGCGGTCCCCCCCCCCCCATAATCCCACATCTGAATCATTTATTTAAATCCCTGTTCCAGAAACTGTAAAAAAAAAACTAAAGCTGAGAGAATCATATAAGCCCTACCAGAGTCCCTGACACATCACCCTCAATCTACTCTCATTTCCCTACCAAGTATCATAGCCCCTGTAGGTTATCAGTCTTTTCCGACTGTCCCGGCGAAAGCAGCCTGAGCCCTAGCGTTCAACTCCTAAACACGATTTCTATTTTCAACCTTTCCAATTTCGATAATGCCCCTACTATGATATAATACAAGTTCATTACGCTTCGCATCGTATCGTACAGTAAGTAGGTTAAGAACGCCCCGCTAACCGGCGCTGTGCGAGAGCCTGTTCGAGGACAAGCCGTCAAGTAAGAGCTCATACCTATCACCGGATAGGCTAGCTGATTATGGAATCTCGGCAGTGTGGTCTAGGAGAAGATCTCTTCCCGGTTTTTAGCAATGATATCTGTCCGCTGGCATCCCTTAATCCATCCGCTACGGGGGCGGGGAATGGCCGGTTAAGCGCGGTACTATTGGCCGCATTCCCATTCGATAGCTCTACGGTATCGTCCAGGGCAAGGCCAAACACGAGTTAGTGAGCGTTCCTTCATGACCGCGTGTACAACCTTTTAAATTCAATGCTTTTTAATGACCGCACCATAAATCTACAAACCCTCGTATACACCCAGTGTAGATCGCTTGCGGAAACAATGTATAATACAATCCTCCCTATGAGTCAAATGTCCTGAACCAAATGCGCAATGCCCCAACACTCCAAAACTCCATTTTTCCCCATAAATTCGATGAAAAGAAGGAAACATTCCCAAGCACATAATCACAAACGATCACTCCCCCCCCTCTCTCCCCGTCCCAGCGTAAGCCTCTCCATGCGTTGGCTTCCCAACCCCTTTCTCACTCGAAAACGTCAGATGCCGCACCCCCGAACGCGGCTCAATTCCCACATCTCCCCACCGCACCTTCCTCCCTACAATCACTTCCGAGTCCTCCCCCCAAGCATGACAAGCCGCGGAAATAGCGGCGGAGCAACTCCCGACAGTAGTAATCTCTGCCGCGAATGGCCTAAACCCCATCCCGGCAGCCGCCAGCAGGGCAAAACCCCCCAGCGTGAGCACGAAAATGAGTGCAATGCAGGAGTACCCCACAGTGCTTATCGTTGACGAAACCTCCCCCCCGAGTGGTCCCGATATCTCGACCCTCGCGAGGAACAGTGATTGCGAGGTCAACCAGTGGAGGAGGCCACTCAGGATCATTAGAGGGATGGCGTAGGTGTAGGGTATTTGAAGCCAGTATGTGGAACGCTGACCTGGCCGCGGGGACGTGACACGGAGGGTGCGGTGGTGGTGACTGAAGAGGGACCATTCATGGCCCGAAAGCATGCAGGTGAAGAGGGAGTTGTAAGTTAGGTATAGGAATGAGAGGATAGTTTGTGGAAGGTTGGCTAGGAGGATTGCCTGGGTTATGTTCCCGAGGGTGATGCTGACTATGGAGACACTAGTTACTTTGCCGAAGCCTCTGGTCCACCTTTTGTCTTCTCATCAATATTTTGCTCGAATTGAGTTTTAGAAGAGGGGGAGACATACATTGATTTAATGTCCGTCTCCAAGTATTCCCCGTCCCTAATCATCCCTGATCGGAGCAGCACCCCAGCAACAATGATAACTATAGAGCAGAAGAGGTTACAGGTTATCCACCTTGTCTTACTAACACTAGTCCACCACCTCTGCACCCCCATCAACTTCCAGTGTCGCACCTGTCCAGCCCTCCACCTACTCTTCCACTCCCTATTGACGAAAGCTCGATCGGCGAAGCACATCCCCATTGTAGTCGGGTCTGGGAATCTCAAAAAGGAGTCTACAGCATCACCCAATGTAACCAAAGTGGGCTCCTGAGATCTAACTACCGTCATGATCATACTACAAGCTTTAATGAGATTGCAGAAGATAACGACAATCATGATCCCTAGGGAGAACTGCACCTTGCACTTCTCCTCTGTCCTCTCGCTCTTGCATCCACTTATCTCTACCTCCTCCCCTGTATGGAGGCCCACCTGCCATGGAATGCCACGCGCCAAATTCGAGGCTATCCCGCCGGGATTGCACTTGAAGCGGGACGGCCTCGAAGTCCAGGTGTCACCGCTTAGATTGTAAGCGCACATCCAGTCACTTGACGTGGGCCGTTCATTATCGATACTTATCATGTCCAGGAGGGTGTTGTTGTGTGCGGCGTTGGAACTAAGTGTAGTAATCAGGAACAGATTTCTATGGCTGGACACAAAGTCAGTGTTGTAGATTTTTGAGCAGTTTGAAGGTGTCAGGTCGTCGTAGCGCTCGGCTCCGGTGTTGTATCCCTCTAGCACACTCTTGAAGAGCGGGAGCGCTTCCGAATACACCCCGAACCTCTTGGTACCCTTGAATCCCCCCGAGGTCGTGCTGTTGGCCCACCACTCGCTGTCGTCGACCAATGTCTCGGTCATGTTTGAGTAGGCTCCCGACTCAAAGTGGTTTTTGCTCACGACAGCCACGACGAACTCATTCGCCGCTAGCGATGTATACACTGCAGAATTGTACCTGAAACCCCCCAATTAGCCTCACTCCCGGGACTGGGGCGGGGATGGTAATATAAATGTACAGCAAATGCAGCGGGATACTCGTGAACCCAATCGCGATCCACAAGAGCCTCCTCTCCAACTTAATCCTGAACAAATTCCTAACACTCGGAACACCAATGTCCATCCATCGTCTCCTCATATGCGCAGCATCGATCTCGCTTCTTGTAGGCGCTGCGAGACACTGCTGTGTATAGTTACTCCCGGACAATAGCAGCGTGGAAAGGGCATTTATCCCGAGGTGCAGCCACAGCCCGATCGTCCTGCTCCTGTTGCAATCTCCAGAATACAATGTCCCAACGCCTCCTCTCATCTTGTACTCCGGATTCGCAGCAGCGTAGATGGTTAAAGCGACGTTTATAAGGAGGACCAGCACGACGGAGGCAGCGCAGCCTAGGACGCCAGTGTGCCAACCTGTGTACCAAACTGGCTTCCATGCTGAGGAGAAGGAGTTCGACCATCCTCGAGTGGACTCGGATTCTAGAGTTAATAATTCCATCGAGGAGGATTTGCTTCCCACTCCTCGTCTTCCTCCTCTGCCGTAGTTGTCGTCATCTAGGGAGACCGCCGTCCATTTTGGTAAATTCCTCCTGAAATTCGACATTCGTTCACTAGCGACTCGGTAAACGAGTGCTCACCCGTCTCCTGTCTTGTGAAGGGAAGGAAAGCCACTCTGAGACTCGGGAGCGGTTGAGAAGAGCAGGTTCTATTTAAGGTTATTCGAAAACTCATTACGGACCACTATGGGCACTTTTGGCAGGGTCAGCCTTGGGATAATAGCCGGCTTGTATGCTGTGTAGGGTATGGAGTACAGCACTAGTACGGTATTAACTCGACAAATTGGGTGTGGTTCCTCCGTGCAGGGGGGGTTCTAATATCGGTTCTGAAACAAAAGTTGCCTAGAAAGCTTAGCTAGCAGTGAACTAGAAGGAATAGGAACATACCGTTAACTGCTGTTCAGGGGCCGCCAAACCCCTTTCCTACCATCCCCTCTAAATCCGCTCGTCTTGGGCTATCAAACCTTGCCCAGGCCCTACCCAATTTGTCGAATTAACCAGGGTATCATACCAGTGCCTGTACTTGTATGCCTTGTCCGAGTCCAGGGAGGCGCAGGGCCGCATGTGATGGGTGGGTTTTACATTAAGAGGGTAACCATTGAAGATCCCGGCAGGGCAGCGTAGCATGCGCTCTTCTCATCCCTGGCTACAGGGACCGATGATACTCGAGTAAAAGGATTGGATGTCGGGGGTGTGTGAGTGGGGTTTGAAGAGTGAGTGCTCCTAAAAAATGGGATCGTGATGCATTTCTTCATGCATTCGCGACAATAATGCAATGATGAGGAGCTTCAAATGCAAGGGCTCAGGTGCCACCACCTAAGCCCAAATCACTGGCAAGGGGCACAGCACAAGTACCGGAACCTCCCAATGAACCACGATCTCCCCAGCCCACCCTTCGGCGGAGAAGCAATACCGGTAATCGAGAACCGGTACGGTGCTTGAGGATGTCACAACCAGGGATCAATGCCAGAAACGCTCCGGGACGCCAGCACTACTGTAGTACAATACTCGAGTACCATACCGGTACCGGTGTTCGAGTAAACATTCGAATTGGACATTCAGTCCTACCCACCCAAACTTCCTCTGTTGGACTGCCAGGCACGGCACGGGACAACGGGGACTACCGGTATCCAGTCATCACCCCCATCACCCTCTGTACCACCAATAATCCCTGTACCTGCACTATGATCCTCCCACCCGGACCCACCTGTATTTCGGAATACCGGTAAAGCCTTTCGCCTGAATTTTCGGGGGGGTTGGATGCCCCCCTGCCCACCAATTGGTAATACGAGGAGGTCGACCAGCAAAATGCCGGCTTAGCACCAACAACTATTTATTGTATTCAGTGCGGCTTGGGGCTGTCAAGCGACAAGGCTTAGCGATACTTGAGTGAGTTGCCATACTTTCACCTTTGTTGAGGTGCTTCCGCCACAGCGACCGGGGTTAACGAGGAGCACGGCAATAAATTTAGGCTATCCACGTGCACTTGAACCTTTTGGGATAAGTGGAGAGCTATTTTGTTGTCCAGTGCTCGTATCATACGAGTACGGTACAGGTACTCGAGTATGATAGAGCGCTAACTTACAAGCAGGACGAAGGAGCTACCGTACTGTAAAGATTCTGGGTGATGGCAGCTTACCGAGCCGCCGAAACGGTCACTTACGGTTACTAAAATAGCATCACGCTATGAGACGGTTGTAGCACCCCACGGCACGGGTATAATCTATGACAGTGCCAGTGAAATATTTACTGCAAGATTGGGTACTGTCAGAGACACCTGCGGTTGGGTGCTGAGGGGAGCGTTCCTCCTTATCGATTGCTATCGCAGAGGAGGTCTATATACCGGTATGCAGGCCAGACGCCCACCGGCGCCGCGCCGCCAAAGCCATCCAGGCAATTTGTCTTAATCCACGCTCTGGCCATCTCCATGTTGATAGTACTTGTACACGTACAGTACCGGTACTGTACTGTACTACAGTATGCTGGGTAGATGTGGCAAAAACTAGTGCTAATAGGTAGGTTTCCTACCTTGTCTGGAGCATGATGAGACTGCATTGTTCGAGCACCTTACCGGTAGAGGAATTCAGCACCGGGGTTGAAAAAAAAAACCCCCCCCCCCTCGAGCGCCGGGTTTCTAATTGGTCCGCCAGATTTGTAAGCAAAACGGGCTCTGCACACACCAAAAGTTCTTCAAAGGGCAAAGCTCGCACAAGTGCCCCCCAATCCCACCGGGGGTTGCCTTTATCCCGCGACTCAATGCCCCCCCCCGGAAACCGGCAACGGCGCACGCACCAGCATTCGAAAGGCCCCTCGCAAATACTAGCGGCACGCGTGCATCGAGGTACTAGTACATGTACTCGTAATCCTCTGACGTTTGTGAACACAACTGGGTCT